GTTTTAATTTTTTTAGCTGTTTTCTGGGAACGTTGCAATGAACTGCAGGACATTGAGAGGATTATGGCTCAAATTGAACGAGGAGAAGCAAGAATTCAGCGGAGGATCAGTATCAAGAAAGCGCTTGATGCCAAAGTAATCATTTCAATTTTTTGTCAATTTTGTAGCTCACTTCTTTCTGTGCTTATAGTTACGGTTGGATCTATCTTCCAAAGCCTGTCAGAAAGGGAACAGTTGGGTGGGAGTGTTACCTTTTTATAGGGGTGCCATATTTCAGTAATGTACATGTAGTAAATCCTTGATGTAATGTTGGATGTCTGATAGTCTATTCTTGTTTTGCATTCAGATTGCAAGGTATAAAGCCCCTTTTCATCAGCTGCGTATTCAGTATGGAACAAACAAAGGCAAAAATTACACAGAAGAGGAAGACAGATTTTTGATATGCATGTTACACAAGATGGGCTTTGACAAAGAAAATGTGTACGAGGAACTAAGGCAGTGTGTGCGCAATGCACCTCAGTTCAGATTTGACTGGTTTATCAAATCTAGAACTGCAATGGTAGGTATTAGTCATGTGGGGCTAAATCCATGTATGATGTATGATGTCTCATTTTAATCACCAGTATCTAAAATTTGGGTGTTTGCCAAGTCGTGCAGCCTAGTGGAACTTAGGAAGGAAATTCTGAACAAAAAAAATTTGGTCCTCATTTTCATTTGCTAATTTTTACTAGACTAAGCTTTTTCTTTAGTACAGCAAACAACATAATACTGCTAAAACATACAAATCAGAAAGTCTACTAAGTTCTTCAGCTCCCATGCTACTCAAAAGAATTAATGTAGATTCACTATCCTTACAAATATGCTTTTGTTTTTATTTCCAATTAAAAATTTGGCTAATGAATGTATTTTAACGTATGACTGTTTTTCAAAATTATTTAACAATTTTCAACAGTGAAGATCTCTGAAACATGCACATGGAGGGAAGAGTAGCTTTGGTACTTAAATTTTAAAAACATAAGGAAATCTACAGAGATTCTTATAGAAGTTGATCATTGCAGCAATTGGTTTAAAATGCACTTTTTAATTGTGAATAAGGTTTGTCATATGCAAAGGGTTTATGTTTTTTTTTT